TTGTGCAGATTTCAAATTGATAATAATAGAGGTAAATTAAGCTATTGAGAAATCATTACAACATATGCATTGCTTTCTTCTTAAATAATATGGAATAATGAATTTTTAAGATGAATAATTTAATTTATGTTTAATTTGAGTTATATTCTTGAACAATTCATTTTTCTTTTTCTTCTTATATAAATCATAAATACTTATAATTTTTTGAGCAACTGTTTAGATATAAGGGTATTTCTTATTATTGTAATTAGATTTTTTTGATTTATATTTTTAGTAATAATTATTATTCTTTTTGTTATTAATAGATAAAATTAGATACAGGATAAGTCGAGTATTTGAGATTTTACATTCATAAGTAAAACTAAGTATTACCCTTCTAATTTAGGACCATGTCTCCAAAGGATAGTTAAATATTTGGGTGGACATACCTACATGTTCGTGAGGACCTAAAAAAGATAAAAACATAAGGAGTTGACTGATGTGCTAAGAACTATAACTTCTCCTAATTGCTGTGTGATACCCAATAAAATAAATATTATGAATATTTTTTAAAAATAATGGCTGGATGAATTTCATCAAATGTGCTATTACCCTCCCATTGTTTATTTCCTTTTAAAAAAATAGGATTATCTTATTAACAACTTAAAGCATAGAAGATTACTTTAAGATGAGAATAAATTGTTGATGCACAACAATTCAAATAACAAAAATGAATTGACATCTACTAAAAAAAGGGATGCCTATTCAAATAAATGGTAGAAAGTAGGAAAATTAATAGAAACTAAATCAGATACAGTATAAGAGGTGTAATAATCAATAAAGGAATAAAGTCAGATTTAACATGTAATCCATTTAAGCAAAGGAAATGAATTATGAAGTCTAAAAAGCTAAAATATAATGGTAAATAGAAGGGGTAATAGAAGGAACACTTGGCAGATAGACTGTTGACTGTATAATGGATTTAATCGATGCATAAAAATTAGGCAAAGGTTTATTTGTTTCTGCTTCTATTTAAGGAGGTTTATATATTTAAGTTTAGATTGATGTTTATTAAATAGGCAATAAAATCTTTTGGAAGAGCAATTTCATATTGTTGGAATTGGATTGACTGCATTTATGACAAGCATTTCAGTTGGAGGAGTGATCTTGTCTGATTGCTTGTCTTAAAGTGAGAAAGTATAAAATTTTTATTGCAGTGAAAACTGGAAGTGCTATAGGATTAGGTAATTTGGAATGGAATTAGGTGCTGGAGGTGGTCCAATTGGAGTTGTGATAGGTGGAATCATTGGAGGTTTCATTGGAGAAGTGAGTGGTAATTTATTGGGAAAAGCTATTGATCATTTTACTTAGTTTAATTTACAAATTGATTTTAATTAGAATAAAAAATCTAAAGTTGAGGACGGTTATTTAGCCTATCTAGGTACACCCCCTCAAGATAAGTTGGAAATACGTCAAGGATAATATAAAGAGTCTAATTCTAATAGCATAAACTGACACTCATATGGCTTTTTTAAGATATTGGGATTTAATTTAATGAATATAAAGAAAAAGACCCTGATGATTCTTGCAAAAGTATTACGTTTAAACTCCTTGCAATCACAGAGGAATATGTTAACGATGATGAAATATTGTAGCAATTCTTCTCTCATGAAACAAACATTATTGATCTTGTTAAAGTCAAAATTAGCTTAGAAAATATTAAATAATTATGATTTACAATTAAATAAGAATTATATTATTATTATTTATATTATAGATATAATTGGATAAAAATATTATGAATAAATGAAAATTATTAATACTATCATTTAGACTCTTGCTTTTTTTGTTATTCTTATTGTTCGAATTCTTAAATCTCTTTTTAGTACAATTTGTCCCATTCCAAAATGGTTTCATCTAAATTATTTACACAAATTTTAAATATTCCCTTTCCAAATACATTCATCTAATAGTATAATTGTATCACAACCACCTTTATAAATCCCATTTCATTTTTTGATATAACATGCAACTATACAATTGTCCAATAATTTATAATTTGTCTAAATCTTTCATAAATGGCTATACTGCAAGATCGATAAAAATATCATATGCATTTTAGTAAATTTGAAATTCAGATATTGTGTATATTTGGAATTGATTATAATAGAGGTAAAATATGCTATTTACAATTCTTTTCAACATTAGCATTGCTTGATTTTTTAATAGGATATCTTGATTTTTATATGAATATTGTAATTTATACATTTTTTTAGTTCAATAATTGATATATTCATTCCTCTTTTTTATCATCTTGGCATGATTAATGGTTTGATTTTCTTTCTTTTTTTATATTTAGCTAGTTTTATAGATTTCTTATTCAATTAATTTAATATTGGAGAAGGTTAATTCAATAATAGAGATGAATAATTAAATCATTTAAACATTATTCATTTTGGATTTGTATAACAATACAAATATTTATTTCCTTTTTTATTTTTTTTCTTCTTCAATTTGCTTAAATAGACTTGCTTGTGAATTATTTATTATATAATTTCTTAAAAAATTAATTTAAATGTAAAATTTAACTGATTGATGTATTATGAAGTAATGAGGTATATTTTTTGTTGTCTAGATATTAATTAATTTCGTTAAATCATCTTGAAGGGAAATG